GTCGTTTCTAAGTCACCAATTTAGTGCTACTTGGTCCCAATGGAATTTCCCATTGGGAACCTGCTAGCGCTATGTTGCTAACTTGTTAGCAAGATGCTTCCGACAAACCGGCCAAAACCAAACTTGCTTGTAAATCTTTCGCCACAACAATCCCGCCTCCTTGATAAACGACCAATCACATTCACTTTATTCATAAGTGTAAAGTCGGGCACCACTCGGGAGAATTTGTAAATGCAACGGTTAGAACAGCCGCTTCCCTACGACTTTAAATTCAGAGTTTCTGTGTCAGTATTCAACCTACGGAGCTTGTGGCAATGATGACTAAAAGACGAGCTTTAGGAGTTTCCTGGTTGTGTAACAGACTTATTTTTATGGTTGTTAAAAAAAAATCAATAAAAGTTTGTTCTGGTAAACGAGAAATGATGCTAGCAGTTATCTTGTACTCAAAGTTAGCCGTCAGTTAGCTTCAGACTCTTAGGCCTCGTCACACTGCTGTTACAGAACAGTCTGTATGTTTTTACAGTAAGAAACTGAACTGTTACGATATCCACTGGAAGTTAGCTATTGGTTGGTTAAAAACGGTGCTTTAGGAAGGTCTTTAACAGGGGGTCCGTGACCCCTAGGGGTCTATAGAGGTACTGCATGGGGTCGATTAGGCTTTTTTTAAAAATATTCCCCCTGCAATTCTTTCCACAAATAGAAATGTCTTTAAATACACATTAACATGAATTCAACACACTGTAGTAAACAGATAAATGGAGGCAGAAGATGTCTTTCAGTCATCAATGCACACATTTAGCGACACACAGGAGCTCTTTCAAGCTGGGCACCGTTTCATTCACAACACCTGTCCCATCAACCAGGAATCAGAATCAGAAATACTTTAATAATCACAGGGAGAAATTACTTTCATTACATGACTCCATCTGTAATAGAGTGACTATAGGACCAGGTTGATATACCGGTAACACAATTTCATATAATATATATATAATTGGGGTCCCCGCTCCATCTCACTATCAGTTTGGGGGTCCTTAGCCTGGAAAACGTTTAGGACCCCTGCTTTAGGACATTGTAGAAGTGGTGGATTAAATCGCTTTTGTCTCTAAAAGCAGCGGGTCTTTTTTTTTTTTAAAATCATGAATGTGTTTATCGGAATGA